GGCTGCGTGCTGAGCCTGTGGGCACCTTCCTGGTGCGCGATAGTCGCCAACGGAACTGCTTCTTCGCGCTCAGCGTGAAGATGGCTTCGGGTCCTACGAGCATCCGCGTGCACTTCCAGGCCGGCCGCTTCCACCTGGACGGCAGCCGCGAAACCTTCGACTGCCTCTTCGAGCTGCTGGAGCACTACGTGGCGGCGCCGCGCCGCATGTTGGGGGCCCCGCTGCGCCAGCGCCGCGTGCGGCCACTGCAGGAGCTGTGTCGCCAGCGCATCGTGGCCGCTGTGGGTCGCGAGAACCTGGCGCGCATCCCTCTTAATCCGGTACTCCGCGATTACCTGAGTTCCTTCCCCTTCCAGATCTGACCGGCCGCCGCCGTGCCCGCAGCATTAAGTGGGATGGCCTTGTTATTTCCTATTATTAATTATTATTATTTTCCTGGAACCACGTGGGAGCCCTCCCCGCCTGGGTCGGAGGGAGTGGGTGTGGAGGGCGAGGTGCCTCCCGGCTTCTGGCCGGAGACCCCATCCTGCCTCTCGGGGGGCCTCCCCTCCTGGTGCTCCCTCCGGGTCCCCTGGTTGTAGCAGCTTGTATCTGGGGCCAGAAAGAACCTGAACTCCACTCCTACCTCTCCATGTTTACATATTCCCAGTATCTTTGCACAAACCAGGGGTGGGGGAGGGTCTCTGGCTTCATTTTTCTGCTATGCAGAATACCCTATTTTATATTTTTACAGTCAGTTTAGGTAATAAACTTTATTATGAAAGTTTTTTTTTTAAAGAAAAAAAGATTTCTGGAGTGTATACTTTGGCCAGATGTCCTGGGTTGGGGGTGGGCAGGGGGTATGCAGATTGATTTTCTTGAAGTGGTTGGGGATGCTGGGGGGGAGGGGTTGGGCAGCGTGCACAGCTCCTCCCACAGCACTGGGGACCAAATTGCCAGGCTCGTTTTGGTGTGTGTCTGGAAAGATGGCGGCTCCAGTCTGAGCTCTCCTGAGTATCCGTGCCTGGTCTCTGCTACCCCTGCTTGAGCAAAGTTTCCAGGGACAGCCCCTGGCACTTAGTACTACTGCCTTGTCCCCAGTGTACAGAGGAGAAAACCGAGGGACAGGTAATGGGTGCCAGGTCACTCCTGGTGGAGAGGTGGGCCCCTTTGACTGTCCACCCAGCATCAGTTTGAAATGGATGACAGAGAGGAAACTTATTTGCTCCTCTGACCACAACTACTTCCAGGAAGAGGGTGGGGCAGAGCGGCCAGGGCTTACCGAGTTTTTGGAAGGAGTGGCAGGTTCTGCAAGCCATCAAGTATTTCAGAGGGGATGATGAGCCATGCTGGCTTGACTGTTGCTTCCCACCCCACTCTGCCTTGTGTACTTTTTCGGAGCCAGAAAGCTGCTTTGTGGTCTGTGGTGGCAGGGGCCCTGGTGCTGCTGGTGGCTGGGGCAATTCCCTTTGCCTCTCTGGGCCTCTGAAAGGCCCAACTTTGTGAGGCAGTGGTGGTGGTGGCAGGAGTCCAGGTGGAAGGGCTGTTTCAGGACACTTGTGGGGCACCAGAAAGGACCTAGGACACTGGCTTTGAGACAGATGGGCAGGGTAGGAACTGGTGGACTGAGTCATAGCCAAGTTTGGGGTTAAACATGTTCTACCTCATCTTCAGGAGTTGTCACGGTTCTTTCAGCCTAGGACATGCTTCTAGTGGCTTTCCTAGTGTCTAGTGATTGTGTTCAGAGGAAGCAGATATTCTGGGCACAGTGGTCGGGCCCAGGCTTGCTCTATGGCTTAGAAGGGCCGACCTAGGGCATCCAGTCCTTCAGGGAGGTAGGGTGGCAGGATGGAGGCCATGCCCTTTATTCCTTCTTTTTTTAGCCCTGATCCTGCTGTATGAATTACTGAGGGACCCTTGCAGGGCAGAGACCAAGTGGCAATACTAGTGATACTTTGCAGACCTCCTAGTTGGAGCTTGGGGTGGGAGGCTAGCTGGGAAGACCCTGTTTAAAATACTTGAACCTGCCTGGAAGTCAAGCTCCTACCCCTGGGAAATAGTCCAGAAGGCAAAGAGGAGCTCCTACACTGGCACAAACCAGCTGTCCTTCACCTGGGCCTTTTGATTGATACAGTGGTACTGTTGGCATCCCCATTTCACAGGCAGAAACCAGAGGAACCAGGCCCTCCTTCAAGCATAGGTTGAATTTGCAGGTAGTTTTACAGCATGCCAGGGGGATTTCCTGGTTTGAAAAAAAGTTGACAAGTTCTGTGTTCATCACAGAAGTCTAAATCACAGACCCATTGCTTTGTAAAAGTCTGAGGCAGAACAGCTAGGAATAAAGGTTCCTGTCCCTCACACTCCCCGGAGCTGCCCCCTTTTTCCCTTTATGAGTCATTAAAAAAAAAAAAAAATCCATCCTGACATACGAAAGGTGACCTAAAAGCCCCTGGGAGCGGCACTCAGTGTCTGTCTGTCGCCCTGTGGCTTCCCTGGGGTTCAGATTCTCTATCTGGCCCTCAAACCTCAGCCTCATGATTCATCAGTGCTTACGTCGGTGCACAAGAATGAAAAGTGAGAGGAAGAACCAAGTAGGGGGCCAGGTGGAGTGTGGGACTGGCAAACAGGGAAAGGAGCACGGCTGATTGTGCAAGCTTGCACACACACACACACACACACACACACACACACACACGAGACCAGCCTAAAAGTCAACACAGCTGGCAACTTCGGGCCTTGTTTTACTGAGGCAGAAGAAAAGACTCAGGTGTAGGAAGTTCTCAAGTGGCAAGCCAGGCCTTGGAGTAGTGGGCTGGTCCTGTTTTCAGCAAGATGAGTTAGTTTCTCTCTCTCTTTCTCTCTCTCTCTCTCTCTTTCTCTCTCTCTCGTATTTTGGAGACAGGGTTTCTCTGTGTAGCCCTGGCTGCCTGGAACTCACTCTGTAGATGAGGCTGGCATCGAACTCAAAGATCCACCTGCCTCTGCCTCCCCTAGTGCTGCCTCTACCTCCTGAGTGCACCACCACCCAGCTGAACTGAGTTTAAGAGCTGGGGAGGAAAAGAAGAGGGAGGGAACCTGTGACATGCATTCCTGGGTCTCCCCTTATCCCATGGGCTCTCTTCAACCTTAGGAGTTGGTCATGAAATGGACAGGCAAGCCTCTTCTCTGGAGTGTCCATCATAAAGTACTTAGCACAGAACCATGGTATGGTAGTAGGTGCCTAATCTCTGCATAAAGAGGTGCTCCATGAAGGATGTATGGAGGTCCAGGTAATAAACACTAAGGTGGAGTCTGGGAAGATGGAGAGTTCAAGGTCAGCCTGGCCTATATAGTGAGAAATTATAAACACTACTCATTTTATATGTTCTTCTAAGCCCAAGGATACAGAAATGAATGGAAGAGGGGTTCTAGGCTCTGTTATCAGGCAGAGTGCCAGTAAATATAAAGGAATGATATTCCAAGAAGAAGCAGTGCTCAGAGGAAAACTAACAGTAACTGGTGGTAAATGGCACTGGATGATGTCAGGAAGGCCATCCAAGAGTCCTTGAAGTAACAGATCTGAACTGACCAGGAAAGGTGGGGGAAAGGCATAATAGAGAGGACAAAGCCCCATAGCAGAACCTGGTTCTGCTCACCACATAATTCCCCAGAGGGGAAGGCTCTCTTGTGCTGTGCAGGGCCCCATCAGTCTCAGGGGGAACTTCAATGGGAGCCTGGACACACCGTGTCTTGGGACCAGGTCCTCTGGCCTTTGGGTAGAGAGGGACTGAAGTGGCTAGTCCTGACAGCACAGGTTTGGGCTTCTTGCTTGTATAGGGTCACTCCTGGCCAGACCTCTGCTCCAACAGACTAACAGCAAGGGGAAGCAGAAGGCCAAGGCCCAACACAGGCCAGTTGTGGAAGGCCTCTCTCAAAACCCCCAAGTGTGAGTCTGTTTGGCACCTGGGTCTGAACAGAACCCAAGCACACAGCAGTATGGGGCTCCTGAAGCAATTCCCCCCTGAGACTCAACTTTAGGAAAGCCCACTGAGGACTAGGAAGGAGGTGGGTGAAGCTGCCGGGTGGTTGTAACCTGGACCACTTGCATGGCTGCTCCACACCCCTGGGCAGCAGCTGATCAGGCCTCCCACAGACATCTGAAAGTGCCTAGAATAACAAGGGGGATCAGCTTGATTCTGGGGGAGCCTCAAGGTTCTTCAGTGGAGTACTATTTTCACCAAAGCAAAAATCACACAACAGCAGTACCCAGTGTGGCACCTTGAACTTGGAACTGGGACCTAAGCCACAACCCTTATGGGAACCACGGGCCCCAGGCTCACAATTGACTGTGGGATGCTGGTGCATCTCCCATGCTGTCCTGCTTTGCACACAGTATGGGTCAGCAGCTCCATGCCTGTTATGCCAGCCCCGACAGGCTTGAGGACCCAAGGCCTTCGTAGGGGGCCTTGCCTACCTATGGCTCAGTGCTCACCAGCTCCTGCTCCCAGGCTATTGTGTTTTGTGTGGTAATTTGTAAGGTGTGATTGGTAGGTGCTGGCTGTGGTAGGGAGCTGGGGTGTTTTGTGTGGTAATTTGTAAGGTGTGATTGGTAGGTGCTGGCTGTGGTAGGTAGCTAAGTAAAGCATTGGCCCAGGCAAGTCCTGTTTTCACCAGTGATTCTTGGACTGCCACAGGCTGCACGCTGATGACATCACTACACTTACTGGGCTGCACTGGGCTATCCTCACCTCTGCTTGGCTTCCTTCACCAGTGGCCCCCTTGTGGAGTGAATGGAGGCCTGTGTATGCAGCCTGCTTGCCTCCTTCCAAGGCCTAGAGCAGGCATGTCTTGAGGTTACACCAGGTCAGAGTGATGATAACTAGCCATCCCCTGTCCACACCCACTTTTAGAATATTTATTTTTAAGCCAGGCAGTGGTGGCACATGGCTTTAATCCCAGCACTTAAGATGCAGAGGTAGGTGGATCTCTGTGAGTTCAAGGCCATCCTAGTCTACAAAGTGAGTTCCAGGACAGCCAAAGCTACACAGAGAAACTCTGTCTTGAAAAAAACAAAACAAAAACAAAAACAAAGAATATTTATTATTTTTAATTATTTGTATGTACATGTTATATTTCTGCAGAAGTGTATTGTATATGGGTGGCAGCACACTGGAGATCAAAAGATGGGGTTAGATCAGATTCCCTGGGGTTAGATTATAGATGGCTGTGAGCAACTCAATGTGGGTACTGGGAATTGAACTCAGGTTGTCCTAGGTCTTTTTCTGTTGCTGTAATAAAACATTGACCAAAAGCAACTTGGAGGAGGAAAGTGTTTATTTAATCTCTCAGGTCACAAAGTATCACAGAGTGAAGTCAGGGCAAGAACTCAATCAAGAACTTGGGGGAGAAAATGAAGCAGAGGGCATGGAAGGGTACTGTTTACTATCTTGTTCAGTTTGCCCGTGTGTGTGTGTGTGTGTGTGTGTGTGTGTATGGGCCTCTGTGTGTGTGTGGGGGGGGGGCTATATGTGTGTGTGTGTGTCTTTTTCAAGACAGGGTCTTCTAGGTCTCCACTCTAGTTCTGAGTTGGCCTTGAACTCAGAATATAGCTTAGGCTGTCATTAAACCCTCAGTCCTCCCACCTCCCTTTAAATGCTAGAATTACAGGTTTGAACCACTGTGCCCTGTTCACTTACCTCGTTTAGTCCCCAGAGATTCAGCAGTGTTCCCAACCTCACTCTAGGCCCTATTGATTCTTACCTTGCTGTAGCAGGCTTTCTTGTACCAACCAGTTCCCAAATCTAGACACAGAGACTTATTATCAATTATCTTATGCTTGTCT